ACATCGATGTTATTCCATTATGTCGCCTACTTGGACACAGCACCAGCTAAAACATTGTCAAGAGCAAGGTGTCTACATCAAATTGACCTAAAGGTTAGTCATTTTTACACTGTTATTCAACATGTCAAGACATCCTATGGTAACTCGTAGTCAAACACAAAATGTATGGGCCTCTAGTGCCTCTACGAATTATGAAGCACGCCATCATGCCGGCGCGTTAACATCGTATCACGATAAGGAACGAACAGTCATAAAATTGGGTGGTGTCACACAAAATTATCTGTATAACAAGGGTGAAGTATCCGTACCCTTTTATCTGTTACCACCATTTCACAACCCACTTCGTAACCCCATCGATGGTCTTGGAATTATGACCCATGTAGAGGAATGTACATTTATCCTAATATTGAACCCCGGCGAATTTGCTTTAATAAACAAGGTAAATTTATAAACTAACAAAAAAAAATCTAAATGTCTTTCAAACCTTACTAAATTTCTCTCTCTCTCTTAGGACATCGCTGCCATGCTAGATTCCGTGGATAAAGAAAGTTGGGCAAGAATCGCGCGCAAAATATCAGTACAAGAATGGAACAATGCACAAACAACAACAAAAGTTAGAAAATATATAATAGAGGATCAAACTGACAATCTTATTGTAACAACAACGTAAATTTACAATGAAATAAAATTTTTTTAGTCTTCTAAAAGTAATATATAATCCAACAAATTATCTACACACACATATTTATCACCCATCATCATCATGCGCAACCGTAATTGTTCAGCATCTTCAGGATTTATACACATTCTTGCACAATTTTCTTTCCAGCGATAATCAAATGTCACAAGCGCTGCGTCATCTTGGGTTTTTAAAGTCGCAAAACGTATTTTACTGCGAGCTACCAATAATAAACTTTCCCAATCGTACCAGGTTAGCAGCGGTGTATAAAGCAACTGTTCCCCAAACTGAGTCACGCATTCCCGATGCGCATTTTCCATCACACCCCAATCATTTCGCATCAGCACAGGTACCGTTGTAAACCATTTATGATTATCAACACCAACCGGGGGTATTTGATTTACACGTATCCACATATATCGTGCAGCTATATTTACGAACAATTCATTCTGCGCATCCACATTACCCGACCAATTTTTTGGGCGACTCAGAATACTCGTCATCACGTTTTCTTTTCAACTCACCCCTACTACCCGATAAAATAAATTGTTGTGGAAGACCACCGATAACTTGAAAATAAGCGATAAATAAATACACGTGTGCGGCTATATCATAAGGTTCGTGTATCGTAAAATACTCCCAAAATCTGCGCACATAAATCGTTTCTCGACAAAAACCATCTGCTGAAAATATTAAACCCTTCAACAAACAATCTGCACCCATGACACATTCCAAAGCTTGTTTAAATTCCACAGCTGTTACTGTTTTAGCATATATCACAACGTCGTGATTTGTATAAAATTTTAACCCGACCATTTTTTACCATATTTGGCAGATGAAAAAAGTATAAAATTACGCTCGAGAAGATCTAGATAAAACAAAAAGAACTAAGCTAAGTCAAAAGGAAAAGCAAGAGAAAACAAAAAATTCAAGGTAATGGATCTCACTAAAGAAATTAAAATGTTTCAAAGCGCATGTTGTAATGGGTGGCATTGTAGACACGAAAATTGCTTTGTCGGCGAACCCGAACAGTCCCCAGACGGTCCCGATTTGGACGAGTTTTGTGATCATTGTAAGATGGGAATTTATCACTTCTCGCAAAAAAGAAAACAAGAAGAACGCCAAACAAAAGCAGCGCACACGGAAGAAGGACCCCAGTTTATGTATACGGGTTATCAATATTGCGATGGGCAATACAAGTATGAGTATGTAAATACGGGCGAAATCTTTGGGTCAAGAACAGAACCCCGCGACGAAGTCACGATAAATCAAATCGGTTTACAATGGCTAGCTCAACGCGGAGACCAACAACTGTTGTGGGGTGGTCAAAATACAATAAAAACACTGCAGGGAAAAAACAAAGAAGAAAAAAAACAAACAACTATTGACAAATTTTTTAAATGAACTAACCTTTTACGTTTTGTAACTCTACCAGATAAAATATAAGATGGATTTTTTGGTCTTTTATCGCTCGTTGTTCTTATACGATAATAATGTTCGATATTTACCCCCGTTTCCCGCTCAAATGTCGTACAGGCAACTGTCAATTTATCCTTCGCCGCACACAAAACACCATGCGTGCTCATGGGGAGATATTTATGTTCGGGCAATATGATACCGTACGAAGGGATCTGCAACAGTTCCAAAACCATCTTCGAAATTTGTAAACACAATATTTCGTAAATTTTTTGATCGTGACGCGTATCCCAGGGTATAATACCCTTGCCGACAAGTTTATAAACTAAAGAAGTTAAATCCCATTTATGTTCGCTTTCAACTTCATCTTTACCATGCTGATTAAACTGCATTTCCAACCATTGTTTCGCATACATTTCCCAGGGGTTACACATCTTTTAAAAAACAAACACACACACTCCAAAGGTTTTGGAAAAATGAATTATAAAGCTTGTTTTACAATTGTTTTATGTAACATTATTAACCGTCATTAAAGCCTCTGATAAGAATATAGTGTGTGTAGGTCCCAAATTATGTAGTTGTGACGCTTCATCCCTTGTAACCTTGCTTGCAAATACATCCTTTGCCAGCTTTTCTTTTGCAGGTCTAAAAAATAAAGCAATTTCAGTAAAAAAAAATTCTTAAAATAAAAAAATAAAAAATAATTCTTACCCCAACAAACGCATAATTTCCCCGGGAAAGATCAAACCCAAACATGTATAAGGCATGTCAGCAACAACGAAATTGAGCGCGTGATCAAAATAGGTATTTCCTTGTAATTGAAAACCTTCAATCAAATCTTTAGTATTACTAGCCATAAAAGCACAAAAAGTTTTTGACGTGTCATTTTCGTAACATACATATTGTACATGTGGTGGTACCATGCCAGACATCATTTTGAAAACTTAAAAACCTTTGAAAAAACAACGCTTTTAATAAACCCGCACAAGGCAATTTTGACCAAATAAGGTTAAAAACAAAGTCAATACCCGCATAGGTAATTTTGACCAAATAAGGTTAAAAATGAAGTCTATTGACTCAACAAAACCTTTTTGACCAAATAAGGTTAAAAATGTTTTTTTTTTATAGCATGTGTAACAAACCCAACGGCTGGACCGGAACCGTAGAAGATCAGCAGGAATTATTCATCAATATCTTATCCTATCAAACAGCCGAACAGCAATTGAACGAAAATAGGCGTTGTATGGATCTGGCCTTATTCACACGCAATGCAGATAAATTGATCAACGAAAACTGGGATGAAGCCGCAGTATGTTTTCATCAACTTCTGGCTTATTGGAAAATTGATTATAAACACAAAAGCGGCGTAAAAAACTACGCAATCCTCAAAGAGTTCAACCCAAGCAAGCTTTACTCAATATATATAAGAAGTATATGTCCGAATGGTAAAGTGAAACCCTACGGCGAAGTGTGTGAACACATTAAAACAATGAAAGAATGTATCTCAGCAATGTAGTGTAAACTTACATATTAAACCACTGTATAACAAAGTTCCCATTTATGTGGTTGTCTTTGCGCACCCTCAAATTGTTCCTTTGTAACTTTAATAGCCAAACGATTTAACATGACTTTACCAACACAATTTTCAGTCAACACACGCATATATTCACCTTGCTGCAAATCAAACAAATAATGCGGTTCCTGCAATTCGCTACATTGTATCAATATAGCAGGCTGTTGAATGTGTGCATCTCGCCGACCCACCACCACGCGCTGCATGCAACCCGTACCATTACAAACATACACAATTTTTGCTTCCCCAATAGTATATATTTTAACATTATCTACTCCCTCCGCCACACCGGCCATCGTAAACTACTACAAAAAAAACTACTATTCTATTTTATATTATTGTCTCAACAGTCTCCTCCTGAGTACATAGTTCTAGTTCCAATGTCTCAAATTCTGTCTGCGTCACAGCCAGATTCTCCATTGCGCGATGATAGCGTGCTTCAACATCCTTCAAATGTACTTCGAGAGCCTTCTTCCAACCATGGCGCATCTCCTCCTTTTCCCGCAACCCAGCCTCCCAAGCGTCTTCGAACCACTTATTGTCCGAAGTAAAACAAAAATCTTCATCTTCGTCGTCGAACCAATCGTCTTCGTCATTATAGGCTAAGGCAGAATTTTCGCCCTCAAACAAAGTTTTAGCCTCTGTACATTTCGGACACTCGGCACACTCGTAGTTCAGCTTGCCGTAGTTCAAATTGTCTTGTTGCTTTGGTTTGGTCTCCATTCTAACAGTTTAATTTTCGTTTAATGCTTTTTGTGAACAAAATTCATCGATTGAGGAAACACTCGCGCCGAATGCTTTTTAAGCACAAATTTCCATGTGGAAGCTTTTAATTTTTCTTTTTTCCCCTAACTTTTTTCCACACTCTCGGAAGCTGTTTTAAAGTTTTCCAATTCCACCCGCCACCCGCACCTTTCTGTATTTTTTTCTTTCCACATAATTTTACCCGCGCCCCTTTCTTTAAAACCACCACACTGCAACGTTTCCCCATCGTTAATAACAACAATTAATCAACTATTTATCTTTTATACTCCCACGGTGTTGGCGAATATACAATTTTCTTAGCCTTTTCATGTATTTCCGTTTGAACACCGCAGCGACTGGTAACGTGCAGGAACTTTATAAATTCATCCAAAATAGGTTGTTCACCGGACGTACCCAATTTTTCCGCCGTATACAAGTAATGAGAGATATCAAGTTTATTCCGTTCTAGGGGTTCAATTAACTCCGACCACAATTGCCACGACGTTAACTCACCGTCACCCAATTTTTGTTGAAATGATAAAAATGCATCCGAATTACTCATAATAATCAGATCTTTTGCTCGTTTTTCCTCAAACAACATCGTTAATCGATCCCATTCAACTTCACATTTTAATTTTTTATCCATCTCTCACGCCAGACAGAACACAAAGTCTTAACACCAATAACACCAACCCTGTTGAGAACACTGACAAAACCGGCTTGTCACAGGTTTTTTGTTATCCCTATCTCGTTTCCTTTGCTGCTCTATTTTCGCATCTAATTCACAAATCATATTACAAATAACACACTTGCAATTACACAAGCAATTGTCCTCCTCGCAAGTACACGTACACTCCATAGCAGAACCAAACATAAAATGTAGTCTGACTCTGAACATGTAGCATTATCTTAGGTGGGAATCGAACCCACTTTGACTTGGGACTTTTACTCCCCAACGCGTTACCATTCCGCCACACCGAAACTACATGTTCAGATGCCAGACAATCACTACTTTAATTATTTGGCTTTTATCTACCTTACACTAACACTGCACAATTATTAGGGTTACAAAACACATTAAATTTACGCATGTCAACTTTTAAGCGATTGAAAAGAGTAAGCTAGTTGAAAGGTCAAAGTAAGCTCCGCCCCTTGTAACATAATAAAGTCGCGCGCCAAATTCGAAACCGATCAGTGCGGTCGACCACGGCTTCGGAGACGCATCTCGGCCGCGCATGCGCAAAACGAAAAACACCGGCGCACGTCGCCCGACCACGCCTAGGACCACACCCAAAAAAAAGTCCCCCCCGTCCGGGAACGCTTTTTGCGACGAATCTTGCGACATCACCCGACTCTTTTACAATACTATCTTATAGTAAAATGAAAAAATTCCCACCCCCCAAAAAAATGAGTACTTTTATGGGTATACTACTAAGTTTGCAGGAATTTTATTCTTCAGGGTTGAATAATTATTTCGTTAGACGAATGGAATAGTTAACATGTTATATGTGACAAGTTTATTCTTAATGTTTATTTATTTACCAAAGATGAAAGAAAAGAAGCAAGATAACCATGCACTGCAGGAACTGGAGGCTTTACATGCGACCAGTGATATTGATGTTAGCGAGAATAATAATGTAAGTTGCACGATTTGGTTGCCAACTTTATTTGGATATATAGTATATAGTACATAAATTACTAAATTCTCATTTGATAGAACTTATTTGTATACAGCTAATTCAAAAAATGTTCTTTTTGTTTTTTAAAATGACCAATAACAAATTTAATTAAAAAAATGAAATCTTGTTATTGGTCATTATAAAAACAATGGGAAAATGAAAGTAAAACGGGCTCAGATGGCAAGACCGCTGACTGTATGGATGGGGGGGGGGATAAAATGAAGGAGGCGTGTCCATGTTTTTGGCAGGGAGATTGATGCTTGCGCGCAAGTGCGCATGCGTGAGGGAGCTCCGAACCCAAAGCCTCGGTTGACCAAAGTGAGGAGTTTTTGAATTTGGCGCGCAGTTAAAGGGAACGCGCTCGGCGTGTGATGACGTCACCTTGAGACAAGGGGGCCAAGTCTAATCGGGCAAAGGGTAAATAATCGGGTTTTTCACCTTTTTTGGGGTATATTTTAATATTTTAATATTTTTTAGTGTTTGCAAAAAGGATGGGGTTAAAATTCAATGAAGCTTAGTGCTTTGTTGGGGTTCATTAATATTTATTCACGTTTTTTAGGTAGTTAAAAAATGTGAATAATGTATTTTCAACAAATTTTAACAACAAATAAAGTTTTATTAACAATACAAGAAGTTTTATTTACAAAATGATTTACTATACTGATCTCTTTCACACATTGTTTAGTTTTCAGATTGTTTTTTCAATAGGCTAGTAAGTACAAATTCTGCAACGTTAATTTTTCCAGAAGCTCGCGATTTTCTCGAATTACATCTAGGGCTTTTCTTCTAGTTTCGGCAAATAGCTCGTAGGTCATAAATTGTTTTTGTTTGATACTGTAATATCGCGTTTAAGTTTTGTCAATATTGTTTTTGATTTTTTACAAACACCTTCGGAGTTGGGTAGAACAAGTTCGCGACGTGATAGTTGTAGTGTGGCCATGTCGTCATTGACTTCGTTCATACGCATGAGAACTTCATCTTTGGTTGGTCGACCGCTAAGTCGTTCTGTTTCTCGCTTTCGTTTTCGAGATGGTTTTTCAATTAACTTTTTTGATTGCATGGGAGAGGTGGGTTGTTCTTGTTCATCTTGAAAAACTTGTTTTGCTAAAGTTATGTCCTTACCGCGACCGTGTGTGGTAGGGATATTTGGTGGTGTTATAGAGGGCATTGCTTGTTCGAAAATGTTCGGTTGATCTGTTTGACAATCGAGATACGTAACTAAATCACTGATGGCTTGTATAGTGTCGTCTTAGTCATTGTTACACTTTTCTTCTACTACCATCTCTACCGTCTCTGTGGTTTTTGTTTGTTCGGGTTCAAATGTTAGGTTTATAAATTTACCCAGTTGATTAATTTGATTCTTTAATTTTTGTAGTTTTAAAGGTAGGGTGGTTATTGTCTTTGATTGTAGTACTTTTTCAGGTGCTGGCGGCGGAGTAGACGGTATTTTGTGGGGTCCATTTTCTGAAAGTTGCCATTTGATAAAATTCAGTTCGAATATATTCTCGGGTAGAGATGCACGAATTGTTTGAAATTCCAGTATTTGTCTGCCAACGGTGCAATATTTGTGTTGTCTTGAATAACGACGCCCAATAAATTTAGGAATCTGTAGAATTCTCCGTCGATATTATTCATTTTTTAATAAGGATTTTAGCGTGTGTGCTGTGTGTTCCTTTACAAGCAACAGTTAAATGTGAAAAGAATATATGAGTGTTTGTGTTTCAAGTAAAAATGTATACAGCCATATATGGTCAAAACGTTATGGTAACATAATTTTTGTTTATATGTGTTTATATGTGTTTTGTGGCAACGAAATTGTATTGACCATATTGGGGTAATGGGGTTTTTACAACCAGCATATGTGTTGACCATATATGAGCATGGTATGTTTTATTATTTTCTCAGTCAAGGTTACAGCTACATAATGAAGGTCGTTGTACAAGTATTTTTGGATTGTTTACGTTATATAGTTGAAAGTAAAATGACATTGGTGTCTAAGGTCTTAATGGGTATGGCTATGCTATTATTATTTTATTTTATGGTCTACGGTATGAAATATTTGGATTTGTCTATAAAAGATTTTGGAGACGCATATACACAATTTTATTCTTGTACACGAGAATATGAGGAGGTATGTATACTTTGGATACGTATTGTGATGATATATTTTCTTGTAATCTTGAATTTCTTGTTTCGATGACTGGGGGGAAATTCAAACGAAACAGTCAGTCATTCATTCATTCATTCAGTCATACAGTAAACTTTCCGGGGGGTGTATACGGTATTTGTTCGTAGTGATTTATCGTACTTAGTCTGTGCTTTGAAGGTTATTTAGGCAATTTCAGTTGTCTTATTTAAATATTCTTTAGGCCTTTTGCCAAGTTTTGCCAAGTTTACAAAGAATTCGAGGAATTGTTGTCGTTATTATAAATTTTATAACATGCGCTTCTCATGTTGTTTAAAGGATCTTTACGCCGGAACACCCGATTTTTTCTTTAGCAGCGCAAATGCGCATGCGCTATCAAGCCGTAGATCACGATGGCGTGACGATGCTAGGAAGGAGCGAGACAATGTTGTTTCGAAATGTATAAACATTTCAGACGTGAATATTGAGTAAATCTTTGAGAATCTACGCAATATATAAATTGATGTTATGCATTCAATTAAGTGCCGATATTATTTAGACCGGTATATTCATTTTACAGAGCTAGCAAGGAGCTAGGACAGTGCTTTTTTCAAGTGTATATATTAAACATTTCAGACGTAAATATTGAGTCGAAAATCTTTGAGATTCTAGGCATTCAATTGAGTGTCGATATTATTTTCACAATATACCCATTAAACAGAGGTAGGGAAGAGCGAGAGAGTGTTGTTTTCAAATATATAAACATTTCAGACATGAATATTGAGAAAATCTTTCAGATTCTACGCAATACATAAATTGATGACGTTATGCATTACCGGCGCCCAATTAAGTGCCAGAAGATATATTGTTTAGGCCGTGTAGTTCATTATACATTGGCCACATTGACTGTATAAGGTCTACACCACAGAATAGATAGTTACACTCAGTAAGAAAAAGAGAGAAATTTGCATCAGACAAAGCGTAAACAACTATTAAACAGAAGTGGGTGTTTGTATGGCGTTTACAAAGAAAATAACTTGTGAGTTGTGATCGAGACTAAAAGAAATCAGTTGAGTCTGCAGAGCTCTTTATTTAAACAAGAAAGACGAGGATCGAGTTATAGCCAACGTGTTATCGCCAATCGCTTGGCTTGCCAACAAGCTTTGTGCAATAGAAGAAAAAAGCAAGGAGGTAGCCAACGTGTACCGTCAAGGACTTACTTTGTTTACTGTCTAGCACAACGTCGACAGTGCAAACTTGTGTTCAGTGCAACGATAACTCTACCAGATCTTACAAGAATCAATCTGTACACAGAGCCGTATCAAAGCTTGTTAAAACTGCTATAAACACTGTTATAACTGTGAAACTATTGAAATCTGAAATGACATTATTGAATACATGCGAAAAGCTGAAAATGACTCATGAAACGCAATGCGACATTGCCATTGGGAATATAAAGTCAAAGGTCAATCAGACTTGTTATTGTGAAACATGTCACAATTAGGTTAAAATGCGGAAGCAGATGGAGCAGATCCACGGAACGGATATGGGGATAAAATATAGAACGGATGGGGATAAAATGCGTTCTTTTAATGATACAACGTCGTAGTGCTTATTATTCATAACATATCTTATACAGCTATTTAGGTAATGGGATTAATCATATTAAATAAGTTCAGCGTATCAGTAGCCTCGTTAGGATACTTTTAGCAACAGCTGCAAATGCAAATGAAGTTTTAGAATATGCAAAATTTGGGTGTTGGTGGAACATTTTAAATTTCAAGTTATCACGTGTAGCATCACAGTAAATAAATAAATTCTATCAGTTCCACGAGGCACGTTTCTGATCTGTTAGGCTTGTTTCAAACGTGGCACTACTCATGTGCCAAACGCATTATAAAATAGATAATGAGATGAAATGCCTTTGGTAACTGTTTATTTCGTAATGTAAGCCATCAGCCTTTCTAGGTTGTTGGCAACCCTATATAGTTCTTGCAGTGTCTTTTTCAATTTGAAACTTCACACTATCCTTGGATCCCTAGTTTAATATACAATACCAACACCGATATAGTAGTCGTATACCAGTTCAATATATTCTATGATTCTTTTGATTTTAGATTCTACATGTGGTGGGACATGTGAGGTTGCCAAATACATCTGTAACCTTTGGTGTAAATCTGTGGGTTCTACTTTATATATAATGTCGTGATCTTTGGCGTAACTCTCAAGAGCTTCTTTAAACATAGTAGGTGTGAAAATTATACATTCATCATTATCCTCTACTTCATAACCTATTTTAAATTTATCATGTTCATCTTTGGATAATTCGTTTTTTACATATACCAAGATGTGAATAGCGAATTTGCTCATTTTCAATTTTGATGTTGCTCGTTACGCATGTGTAATAAAAATGGGTCAAAAATGTTTTAAGGGTGCACAAGATACGCCGTGGGTAACATTAAATTGTAATTGCGTTCAAATTCGTGATAGTGATAATATTGATTTGGATTTTAAGGACGGTGGTGGGGTTGAAGAAGAAAAACACGAAAAAGACGGCGTGAAAGTTACAAATTGTTGTTGTCTACAATGGCGTCAAAAAAACAAAAGGGGAATGACGGCAAAGCGGTCGATAGAAAAACAGTCGAATTGGTGAGAAAATTATTTGATGTATTTGATAGGGAAAAACGTGAAAAAAATATTGAAGAAATTGCCAAGATGGTTGTTGAGAATAATAAAAAACAAAATGTAACTAAATTATCAAATATGGTAAAAAATACAAAACTGCGTCATAGGGAAAAGCGTAATTATAATGTTGAAGATCGTGACATTGTAGAATTAGCGGGGTTGGTTCGATCACATAAAAATATTACCGTGCCCCGAAGATCTTTTGCAATACGCCAAATACGCACACATGAACGATTTGGTTATACAGAGTATATATTTGATGTAAATGTTGGCAGTGAACATATGCGTTCATTACCTGATTTTTTTGTAAATTTACGTAGGGTATTTGAATACTTAATTAATACAATGAAATATTACGCGGAATCGAATACCGCCAAAGCACGATTTTTTATCTCGAATGCATGCACCACGTACACCTTTTTCAACAGCTGTTTTAAATGTATCTGATTTTACAACGGACATGTTTTTCAACATTTTTGAAAGACATATGCAAAGTAACACGCAAGAGATTATAAATAATGGTTGGCACACGACTGTTAGCTTGTATATTTTTCCGAACACGTGTACGTCACGTCAACCTGTAAAAAAACGAAAAAAAACAAACTAAAATGCATAAGTATTTAGGCAAAAACGGTACGGAATCGGGTAGCGGTAAAAAAAATGACATGGCGTTAAAACATGGTCGCGAAGTGCCTCATGGTGTTTTTCAAATTGGCAAATCAAACGTGAAAAACGGTTGTTTGGCTTTAGCGCTATTAGTGGGTAAAGCCTATTTGAACGACGATACAAACGCACAGAAACTAAAGAGAAACCGTAACTTGACACTAAGTGATTTATATACTGACGATGACATCACAAACGTTTACACGACTAGTTGTTTACCCGTTGGTCCGGTTCGTATCAATCAACTTGAACAGGTTTATGAGAGGTATTTAAAACCGGAAGGTATTGATTTAGTTGTTTTTTCTAAAAATCAAGCCGACACCATCGTTTACGATTCCCGATTAGATGGTAATCAGCGGATACACCGCATCACAAACAATGTGATATTTCTTTGGTTAAACGAAAAACATTACGATCTTGTACTATCACCGTATACATTTTCACGTTTAAATTTGGGAAAATTTTGTTTTTGTTGTATGCGTTATTTTCGTCGTTTTGAAACTAAGAATACACACGTTTGTATTTCGTCGCTGACTTGCCACCGATGCTATTCGAACACAGCAAAGTGTGTTGAGACACCGGGTTTTGTGCAACAGTGTAGCGAGTGCGGTATTATTTTTTATAATCCCGATTGTTTTCGTAATCATTTATTGCAAAAAGTATTCAAAACCTCTGTGAACGGCAAAATTTTTTCTGCACTGTCTGTTATAAATCTGTGACGTGAAAAACAATGATTTCCAGTATAAAATATACAGCACACAAATGTGACAAAATGTTCTGTTTGCATTGTAATAAAATGAAGAAAAAGAGAACAGCAAAATGTGACGCATCCCATGTTATACTTTTACGATTTTGAAACACGTGTAAACAAAGACGATATTTACATGATTCCATTTTACTGTGTCGTTCAAAAGGTGTGTGTGGCGTGTGACGAAAAACTATTTGTAAAAAACTATGAACATTTTTTACCACATCCTACCGAAGCGTATACTGATATTTCTGTGGAACCCGTAGTTTGTTGCGGTCATAGGCAATATGTGTTTGAAAAAAATAATGAGAGTATCGTAGAGGAATTAGTAGATTTTATGATGCAGCAACCCAGGGATAGTGTATAGGTGGCACACAACGGGGGTCGTTTTGATAATATCTTTTTAATGCATGAATTGTTAGTACATCGTAAGATAGTGCCGAAGGTTATTATGAATGGTAGTAAGATTATGTCTATGGAATTGGAAGAACGTAATGTAAAAATAATTGATAGTTATTTGTTTCTTGCCATGAGATTAAGTAAATTTCCAGAGGCCTTGGGGATTAAGGATGTGTCGAAGGGTTTTCACCCCTATTTATTCACCGATTTAAACTATGTGGGTCCCATGATAGGTTTAGAATATTTTGAACCACCTCCCGAGGGTAGTAAGGAACGGGGTATTTTTGATAAATGGTATGAGCAGCAGAAGGGTAAGACGTATATTTTTCGCGAGGCAATCTACTATTATTGTCGTCTAGATGTTGACATTCTTAGACAGGGTTGTATTATATTTGCAAGATTGATCCATAAGGTTACGGGCATCTTGCCCTTTTATGACCGCACATATAATATTGTGGCGGGTTTGGCGCTTAAGATATACCGTAGGAATTTTTTACAAGAAGAACAAATTGGACAGGTGCCCGCATGCGGTTATGGGGGGAAGAATATCAATCAAAGTGCCATAGCCATGTGTTGGTTACGGGAAATCGAAAAGGAATTAGGTGAAAACAACAGACAGCTTGCTAGTAAACTTTCTGTAGGTGGGGAAGTTCAGATTATGGGGCGTTACGTTGACGGTTATTGTGATGAAACGAAAACAATTTATCAATTTCATGGATGTTTTTACCATGGGGGTGAGAAATGTTATGATGGTGACGCATACAACAGTATTGTTTGCGAGAAGTTTTTTATTTTATTAGCAAGTACTCAACAGGTAACAAGCAGTTTTCAACAGGCTGGTTATACAGTAATTGAAAAATGGGAATGTGATTATCGTAACGAAAGCGACATAACACCGCATCGTTTGAAACAATTAAGTTTAGGGTCCTTCTTTGTATATTTGCATTTAGAGCCACGTGATGCTCTTTTTGGTGGGCGTACATCTCCCGCTGTGCTTTATTATGATAGTAGAATTACCTGCTTACCAGCCATGTATTTTGACGTATGTTCTCTTTATCCGCACGTGCAAAAAAAATTTGAATATCCCACACAACATCCGACGATTTTACGTGGTGATGCATGTAAGGATGTTGATTTAAATTTTGTATTTGATTTGATTAAATGTAAAATATTACCACCAACAAACTTACTATTTCCAGTTCTACCCTTTCGTTTGGAAAAACTAACATTTCCCTTGTGTCGTACCTGTGTTTTAAAACAACAACAGCAAACATGTAACCATAACGACGAAGAATGTGCGCTATACGGCACGTGGACAAGTGTTGAGGTTTAAAAAGCCCTAGAATTAGGTTATCGAAACCTTGCGCTTTATGAGATCTATCATTTTGAAAAACGTGAAAAAATATTCGATCAATATGTTAACACTTTTATGAAACTTAAGCAGGAAAGTAGTGGTATTCCTAAAAATTGTTTAAACAAAGATGGAACAGTAATAAAAACAAAATTGCAAGAGTATATTGACGACTATATGAAACACAAAGGTGTGCTTTTGGAGGGTGTAAAAACTTGTTATAATCCCGGGCAAAGGACAGTAATGAAGGCACTTCTAAACTCGCTATGGGGTAAATTAGCTCAAAATGAGGACACCACCGTTGTTTCGTTTCTCGACACCATGGACAAGCTGTTAGATCTGGTGAATGATCGTACCGTGGAAGTAACATCGTTAGATTTTATTAGTGATAATATTGCTCGAACCACCCATAGAAAGGGAAGTAGTCTAACACCTTTACCCAACCGTAATGTAATTATCGCGTCTTTTGTAACAGCATACTCGCGTTTAGAGTTATTTAAATATTTGCATAAATTAGGCGAAAATGTTTTATATTACGATACTGATTCTGTGATTTTTATCGAAGATCGTTCAAACGGTAAATGTCTTGAAATTGGCGGTTATTTGGGGGAAATGACGGATGAATTAATTGAAAAGAATACTAGTAAAAAATGGATAGAACAGTTTTGTTCAGCAGGTCCAAAATCGTATTCTTATCGCACTAATGAATATATGTGTTATTTAGAAGACGGTACTGAAAAAAAGCAAACGGATGAGATAGTGCATGTGAAGGGTTTTACGTTAAAAGGGGATGCGAAAGAATTGCTAACATTTGATAGCATTAATGAATGTATAAAAGATAAAAAAAAGGAAATTGAGATAACATATCGTGAATTTGTCGTGTGAATTTTACGACTGTACGCGTATGGGTATACCCACTATAGAGACTATAAAGCCGTTACTTGGCAATGCTACATTGATAATTTTGGATGATTTAACGGTTTTGGCAATGGAGAGCAAAGAAAATACCGATAATTTAAACAACCTAGCATCGCGTGATAGTCATCATTTAAATATCTCTTGTTTTTTTGTATGTCAAAATTTAAACTACGAAGTGGTTAATTTACGAAATGTGCGAATAAACAGCATGTATCATCTTGTTTTCAATAGCCATACAGATACTCGAGATATTGAATTAATTGCTCGAAATAAAGGTATTCGATTACCCGTTTTACGAAAACTGTTATCGGATATTGGAAAGAAACAATATGGTTATTTATTGTTTGATGGTTGTCCACATTCACCAGCCAACACTTGTGTTCGAACGGGTATATAAACAATTTGTGTAAATATTTTATTAAAAAATTAAAAAGATTACATATATTGTTGAAATTCTTCTAAGTATGATTTACAAATTTGACCTTTGGCCTTATTACATTTACGTTTATAAACACTAATCATATTGGGGAATCGTTTATAGGCTAATGATTGTAGTTTTTCCTCATTTTTTAAAAGTTCATTTTGTTTAACAGAAAAAAGATCAAAAACATCATCCCGATTATAAAAACTATGTAAAAATAATAAACACCACACCCCACACGTTTTGCTAATATACGACTGACGTGCTATTTGCATATATACTGTAAAATTACACCGTAAACTACGAAAGTAATCTAACCAGTATTTTTTACCAAAACTATCAAAAAATGTAATGTCTTTGTTGCCTTTTACAACACAAACCCAATGAATACCCGGTTTATCTTTTTCGTCCGTATTCCATACCCAACAACATTTATCTTTTATTCCTTTTGGATGTACGTTTGCAGGATAACACCCCGAATAATAGGGTCCAATAATGGTGTTTTCGTTTGCAAATTTATCAATATCGTCTGTATCTAAAAATTTGCTTACAAAATATGTTAAAGATACCATATTTTTACGGTCTGTTAAGATAATCTCTGGGGCGTTTGAGAGGTCTCTGAGGTGTTTGTGGCGTTGCTGTTTGACGTGGTGTTGTTGTAGGTAATCGACGTCTTGCTATAGGTGCTATGGGTATCATACTTCCTTGACGTAAAAGTGATTTATACTCTTCTTTTATTTTTTTATTTCTTATAAAGGAAACAGGCATATTTGTTTTTCGCAATAATAATAATACTTTGTGTCGTTTTTTCTCATCTAAATTGGGCGCTGTTTGAATATAATTTCGTGTTAAATCCTCCAACATATCGTTATAGGAACGCCGGCAAAATTAACACCATTTTGGGAGGGTTTTACACCGTTTTTACGAAAATGCTCTTCAATTTTCGCTGTAGAAGCAGCCACTGTACCCGCTTTGTAGTTTGCACCTGAAGGTCCCGCAGTTGCGGCAGGTGGTGCGGCTGTTGCGTCGGGTTCATCATCGGGGTCATTATCTAAACCCACAGATCGGCGATAATTATCAGTTTTTTTTAGATAATTAATAACATCGTTACCCGCAGTTGAGGATTTATTTTTACAGATTTTAGAACGGTTGCACGACTTTCGATAAGGCCTGCTTCTTCAGCACTACATTTTGCATCGCTCAATAGTTTTTGTCTATTATTATTTTCAGTAAACATCTCCATAAGGGCATTAAATTTTCCCGCGTCTATTAGCGCTAACCGTTTGACTTCGTCGCCCATTTTTTTCAAATGCTCTTTTTTATTGCTTGTAGTTGTTGAACGGCTTTACAGATATAACCGTGAATGCGCATCTCTTCAACAAACATAAACCTTATATCTTTGGCAGCACAATCTTTTGTAGTAATATATTCCATAACATTTCTATCACCGGTATCGACGTCAATATCGATTTTTTTACGTACAATTAAATCACAAATATGTAATAAATGTCGAGTAATAGAAGGTGAAATTTGTTCACCTTTTTGCTCTAAATCTAATTTTAAAAAATTAGTTACACTAGGGATAAGACGATTTTCTTTTTCCTTGGGAACATCACAATGGTTTTACGGCGTTTAGCCGGCAGAATACCAAGCCTTGAAATTTGCTATCTTTCAATACCAAACGAACAGGATTCTTTTGATAATCTTCGGTTTCTGATAAAACAAAATAATGACTGCCTCCTTTCTTTGCCTTTTTTAGACATTCATAGGCAAGTCGTAGCTCTTCATGGCTCATAGTGAATTTCATTTTATACAAATTCTTATCACCCCCTTGTGTTGGTAATACTGAAGAGATACAACATTTTTCATTATATCGTTCATACCACAACAGTTTTTTGGTTCTATTCTCATAACTACCCAATTCTTTAACATGGGTAGCGTTACGTTTTTCATATAATTCTACGCCTTGTTGTGTGGTTTGTGCCATCTTGAAGTGAGATGAATTTTATCTCTTTACAACAACGTCTTATAAACGGCATATAATGCGCACGCAAACAAAGCGGTGTTCAACAGACATTCCTTTGCAATAACACCTTGAATATGTGCACACACCTTATTTCGAATACTTGTTATTTTTTAAAAAAAAAAAATTTATATTGGGCACAGGAAAAATCTATATGCCCATATATGGTCACAAGGACATATCCCATAACTAATAATTTGAAACAACCGGAAATATTGATAAAACCATCATCATTTAGCAAAAATACCATTAAATCACATAATCCTTTATTATTTGTGTCATATTGCTTAAAAATATTATAAATTTTAACAAAATATATCGCAAAATATCTGTCTAATTCTTCGTCAAATTTTTCTTTTATAAGTTTACTTTTAATCTCCCCAAACCCGCACCAATGTTCCGTAACCCACACGTTCATAATTTCTACATGTAAGTTTTATAAACATGCATATATATAAGCAAGGGTATAACACTATCGTCCATAAATACCCCCCATTCGAAAAGTTTTCTTTTAATATTGTCTTTATTTTTTGCATAACATAACCCATACATTGAGGATATATAAATAAGAAAATTACGAGAGTAAGTCAGTCGCCGTCGGTTATTTGTCACACAACCATCGACTAACTCAAAGCACTCAATGCATCTGTGTTGAAAAGTGTTCCAGATAAGTATTACATTATAGTATGCATCATCTCTTCTCGTTAGGTCTGCTTGTAAAAGTATATGACAGTGTTTATAAAAAATACCATGGTGAAATACGTTAAACTCTTCTCTTGTTAGCAAATATTCTTTCTTTCTTTGCTTTTCATAACATAACATAGCGCGTCTTCCCTCAATCATAATCGAGAAGTAATGATATTTTTTACCAACAATCACTTCTTCTAAAAAATTGAACACACCACGTTGCAAATATATATCCCTTTTCAAATAATCTTCAAATAACTCAACGCTTTTTTCCCTAAAACTCTCCAAAGTTTCACCAAATATCTTCGGTATCAAGATGTTAAATGTACCCCCTAGATCCCGTTTCATATGTAACACGTACCCACCAGACTAAATCGAAGTACCATGTTGTTTTTCTGCTAAAACCGAAAATGTATGACGCATTGCACCCACTGTATATCCACAATAGTATGCATCTTCGCATTTATCCATTACAACGACATCATGAGGGACGCCTGCTTCGTTTTGCACGTGTTTTACGAATGGTAGTTTTAAACGAATGGTATATTTTTACATTATATTATAACACCGTAGTGTTGGGGGCTACTCGTTTAAAATTAAACCGATGTTACAATAATAGTGAATTAAACATTATTCTCTCAGATAATACTCAACACCAAATAAGGTCATGTGTAAATATGTGCGTACAAACCCTATATATGCATTCTTTAGCTGATAATAACATAGTAGATATTGTTAGTAAAATATGTGAGGTATATAGTACGATATTATCGCATAACATTATATTTTTTGTACAGGATGTTCGAAAAACTTGGGGCTTGTGTGGTATACAAGGGTAAAATATACCTCCAATCTATAAACTTTATGAACATTTATCATCATCTGTTAAATAGCCATAGTCATATTGTTTCTTATACTTTAGATTCCTTAAGTTTTGGCTAAAATTATAACCCGAATACGGTGTCGAAAACAACGGATACCATATCAAATCATCATTGATTAATATACGGTGATATTTAGCCAGATAATAACCAATGTCTGTTTGTAAATAATCAATTGTATTTTGATAATGTAGAAATGTATAATTACACTCTTTGAAAAAAACTTCCAATAAATGTTTTAATCCTTGATCATCATCTTCATTGGAACACCATTGTGACGAAGCAATGATACTAATAAATTCTTCCGCATGTAAATGTTTTTGCACTTCACGTTTTATATAACGACGACCATTTCTTGAATAGTAATTCACCTCAAATTGTACAACATCTACTGTACAATATATTAATCTTGAAAAACACAACTGTATAGGGTAAACCTCACCATTAGAAACAACCCTTAACAAACGTGGCATTATTTTTTCAAAAAAATAAAAATAACATCTAATATATATATATATACATTTTATCTCCATATAAGGGCATAACTTTTTTAAAAATATATTCAGTCACACACACACGTTATTACGATGGTTTCACAAGCGCGAAAACGATATTATCAACGTGGTGCAAATTTTAAGGGCGGCAAGTATCAACAAGGAAAAAAAACAAGATGGTGGGTTATTCGGCGATGGTGGAAAAAGTAAATCAAAATCACAGCCTATCAATCTAAATGTAAACCAGCATCAATCAAATAATATGAATGCCAATCGACGCTCAATGTATCGACAACAACCCTATTACTACCAACCACAACCCGATTATTATTATCCACCACGACGACAAACTAGAAGACGTCGAGGAGGTAAACAAAAAATGTAAAAAAAAACCAAAAAACGCAAGTTTTTTAACCTCAAAAAAAAAACCTATATCCGAACTCTTTTTAACCCCTAGACGAAGACAGTAAGAAAACACAGCAAGGTGGTAATTTTTGGATGCTTTTCTTGTAATTAAATAATTGTTAAAAATTTAATAAAATTATTTACAAATAAACATTTACGGTATTACACAATCCTTTGCGTTCATGTCTTTAACAAGCAAACAATCGGATGCAGCGCGACATTTATAAAATAATTGACCCTGCATAGAAATCTCGTTAAATATATACTTTATTACACCCCTTAAATGACAAATTCTAGGCGGGTACAAAGTTAAAGGTTTCTTCTTATTTACGCATGTATGCATAAATGTATGTATCCATGTATGCATAAATGTCAATGAATCCATTTCATGAAAACAAATGCTGCATCCACCGCCCACCTTCGGACAACTATAAACGCCATACTCATACACACATCTCCGACCACATAAACATTTGATCAGGTGACGTTTCGCCACAATTTCAGGAACCAACTGTTCAACGTCGCATACATCTTTGCTACATACATAGAATAGTTGTAGTTCACTTTTTGCACACGGTCCTTGCAAATACGACGGTGTTGTATAACTAATACGTTTTAACACGGCTTTAGTTTGCAACCCACATACACATCGGTCACAATATAACATATAAAAAATGACACATCTGCGTTATAGGCGTCGACATCAAAACCGCAAAAATAACCGCCAGCATCTTCACTAATATAATTCTTATCAGCACATGTATAACAGGTAGATTTCAACCCATCACCACGCTGCGACAACAACACGTAATCTTCACACGCACATTCCATTTTTTCACATATTACCATATCAACCTCATTCCACGTTTTACACTTGTCACAATCGCAAGCTAGTTTTTTTAATGCTGCCATATTAAAAATCTGTTTAGAACTAAATATAAATTTATCAAACACCAAGACTATATTATTTAGCAACATTCTTCTGTTTGCCCAAATATGCTCCTACCTTTTAACATAAAAAGCAATGACTCATTTTTATCTAAGCACAAAATGTCGAACTGCGATTACTGCATGGCGCCAAGAAAATGCAATTGTGCTGCAAAATGTCTCAATTGTTTTAAAGCAAAACATTTGTATGAGACAAGTCTAAAAATATTACACTACCAACCAAACCAACCCACAGACACTCACAACTGTGGAGAAATTTTAGCAACTCCAACAACGTCGGGAAACCACATTTATTAGCGGTGTCGAAATAGTCCGAAAAAAAAAACAAAGAAGAAGAAAAAGACAAAGAAAAATTATAGAATAATTGGAACAGCAAGAAAAAGACCAAAAAGAATTGAAAAAACTCAACAGTGAACTGTTACAAATAAACAGTAAAATTTCACCGATAAAAACAGCCGCGCAAATTAAAATTAAAGCCGAAAATTTACAAGTGGTCAAACCCTTCTACTGTTATTTGCATATGTGCGATAAAGAAACACGTTGCTGTACACAGTGTGAACAAGTATGAGTAAAAGAAAAAGAGAAATCGAATATAGTTTGGAATCATCTTCCGACGAAGATGAAGCTCAAATGTATTTTGAGATAATTATATAACACCCGATCAAGTACGTTTAAATGTTAAAACAATGTTACAAACACAAGAAGTTGAAAACGCTATAAAACATTTAATCAGTGAACTTAAAATAAAATGTCCAGAAAAATTTTAATAAAAAATACTGTTATTTGTTCAGTTCTTTTTCTGAAATTTTGGCTACATTTTAATCCCACATCAAAAAAACAGTCTTATTCATTCACAACAAACAAATTCTTCCCATGTTCTTTTAACTCTGTTCGATACTTAGACAGTATCTTATCATCGTTCTGATGTGTTTGACTAACAACATATAGAAAACATATAAAATTATCCAACATCACATCATCTCCAGGACCCAATTTTTTACCTGTATACATTAGACGGGACATGTCATGTTCAAAACTCTTGCCCATGATGTCAGTTAATGATTCCCATTCACGCCATTCCCCCTCCGTCTCCACTTTTTGTTTAAACAGTGCAAATGCATAACCCTCCCGCATTCGTTCATATTGTTTTTCGATTGTCCCATTAAACACGTGAAACTCCTCGTCAAATTTGGGATGATAATGACACAGTGGCTCACAAGCTGTTTGTTCCTCTTCATCACTACTACCATACATTGCTTTTGTAGAATCATTATTGCTTTCTTCTTTAATTTCTAACGATTTTATTCGATTACCAATAAATTCAGTCATTTCATACATTCTTTTAAACTTCCTAATATGGTTATTTGAAAATAAATACATATATATAAGCACACATCACATCGCATCACTATCTCACATGCAAAAGTGGCGACAATAGATATCAGTCGTCCTAATATAACCTCACTAATACCTTCAACTGTTACAAAAAAAATTATCATATTCAACTCATCAAATTACCCCATGACAATTTTCATTTTTCCAAATGGTATGGTCGGTGTGCAAACCATCAATTGCATAACACTAAACGCAAATGTTACAGACACTATAAAACTGGATGAAGCATTAAAACCATGGCAAGCGTTGGAAGTTTGGTGTTCTTTTACAGAAAGAAAAGATGGTATTCAATTTCATTCTGAAAAATGGTACAAAGAACAAACAGCTTGTGAACACACTCTTTTTTACACAATCGAATAAGGGTAATTATTCATGCAAATAAATATTGTCAACATATTCATCTACGCCTTCATAACGTTGTATCTTTGCTGTTTTTCATCGTTGTAATTTCGACATAGCCAGATTATATAGTTTCTCAGTATCATTTTTATAAAATTTAGGTTTGTGCCAAACTTGCAAACTTTTACCATGCCGCGCTGCAGTAATAACGTCGTGTATGGGTATACATAAAGTGCGAGCCAGCGAGCCATGCCGATGTTGCGAGCCACCACAGATCGGTGCGAGCCACGCGATGTATGCGAGCCATGTGCAATAAATGAATATAAGAAATTGGTCTTGACCAAATGGTACTGAGTAACATCTTATCTCCAGGACACAATAAGCAACTTGCGTGTTAGACTGATTTTTTATCTAGGTAAAAAGTAACTTCCCGTAAAGAACTTGTTAAAACTGGTGAAAATGCAAAGTTTGGTTAGTGTGAAATGTTGTAGAATACGGAAGGTGTAGCCTTGCGGGGTTTGCATGCATGTTTTGTATATGTTACAATATTGTATTTGCCGAAAATGCTAACAATTTCCAAACATATGCAAGGTTTGCAAACTTTGCAGGACTGTGTTTACCAGGGTTTGCAACATTAACTTCGCGGCCGAATTTTTCGATTTTGCTAATTTCATCCTGTTCCTTTTAGGTGTGGTATTTGATTCCCTTCTCTTTCCTAGGGTTAAAATTTGGTCTAACATGCTGGTTGTCCATTAGATCTTAAAACACCTAAAATTCCTGTAATTGAAATTGGGTTCTTGATTATATTTATATTTCGTTTCTGAATTTTGTCTATTATTTTACTAATATACAGTTTTACATTTCACTCGTTAACCATTTTAAATAATTTTAAATACGATTCGCATGGCTTGCACCTTGGCTCGCATGGCTCGCACTCTTGGCGCATAACTCGCATGGCTCGCACTCTGGCTCGCATGGCTCGCAACCTGGCTCGCATGGCTCGCAACCTGACTCGCATGGCTCGCACCCTGGCTTGCATGGCTCGCACAATATTGAAACTCGTCGTGTATATTCTGAATATTATACCAACACTGATTCAAGACTAGTTCAAATATTGAAAGCCAAACAGTTGATACGGTTACGTGTTTTTGTAAGCATATAACGCCATACATAACGTGCTGTAATATTTTCAAACAACGTACCCTCCTCAAACACGCTCCAATCAGTAGGTTTATGGGGTGTAAGAATAGCTTTATCAAAAACAATAAATGTTATCTGATCAGGTAGAACAAACTCCATTCCTTCTTTTTCTATTATTAACTATTAAACGTTCACATTGTATTCCAGACCAAAATGAAATCACTGCATGAAAAGCGACGTATTCCGAGGTATTCACATGTCTATACGGGTTAGAAGAAAACGCATATTGCAACAGTATTCTGACGTGGAATATTAGTGTGAATACGGCATAGTATTGCAGAGTATTCCAAGCGTGAATATGACACATATTCACCTAATATTCACACTTGGAATATTATAATCTCATCTCATACGTGTTTCCACAACATAGTTTGTAAAGTTAAACATTCCTTTGAATGCTTCAGATTGGAAGTGGAATAGATAACAACATAATAAGAAGTGAATACCTACTGCAATTTATGATGGAATTTGATGATTCATGATGTCTGTAAACAAATTTCAGGTGTTAGCATATTATGTTTAGCTAATAGCTAGATAAAATACTTGAAAATTCCTTCTCTATTTGGATATCTGCATATCAAAAACCAAACAGATTAATACCGCAAGGCGCACACAAGAAGTCGTGGATAAAATTGTATTATAGTACTATTTATTCATTTTGTTATCTTGTGCATGTATTGTATGGACACCGTAATTTACTAATTTCGTACTTATTTGAGCGCAATGGCGCTCTTTAAATATGATTTTCAATGTTGCAGATGAAATGCAGCGGTTATTTTGCCCGCTCAAATGAGTAAATTGTGTCCTTGTAATGATGTAAACATTTTAGTCATTATGCATTCCCTATAATAATTAAAACTTTATGGAAGCATACAATTGAAAAGAAATATTATTTTGGGCCATTTGCATGGTTCAAACCATTCCACTCTATTTTCATGGCACCAGACCAATTTCTATTTCGATAGAAACCTGTATACTGATTGCAATGTCGGACGAATATTTGTCTGCATATTCCTGTGGTATGCCTGTGCGCTATCATTGTTCACAGCTGTCTTTTTGCGAAAAATTTGAACTGCTAACGACAATAGACCTCCGACATACTTCGTACTGGATAGATTCGCTCTTTGCTTGGCGGAATTCGGATGTGATCAGACTTTGCTCGGGGCATTGTTTACGTTCCAGGTTTCCCGAGATGTAGTTGCACAAATATTTGTTCCGATTTTGCGCTTACATAGTACCGAACAAACATTTGTCTGGTCGATACATTTTGAAACTGGTACGCTTTCGTGACGGACAAAAACTTGTACGGATAAGTGGTCAAATACTTAAACTTTTGTCTGGTAAATGAAAATCTGTCTGGTATCGTGTACATGCGGCCTAAGAAATATAAATCTTTGCATGCATGAATACGACAGACAAGGTGAATGCAATTAACTTTGCGCACTCACCAAATATGGGCATGATGACGTCAAACCAGACCTATGCATTAGTAAACTTATTTGGCGCAAAATCGCGCGCAGTTTATACCGACATCTATGCCTAATAACAACCGTTGTGTGAGAAAAGCCTACTTTAGTTAAACGGCATATTCACAGCCCTAACCAACAGAAAAAAAAGAACGAGGACAGCCCGTAAGAAGCGCAAAAGGTTCGAGAGAAGAGAAAGACAAACCAAGGCGATACCTTACTAAAAATTCAGGAAGCTCTGGTCAGGGTCAAGGAAGAAGCAAGCCGCCATATAATGAACTTGCCAGCAAATATTATTCGCTGTCGAGAAAGTGCGCAAAGTGATAAAACATCGCATATCAGTTGTGGGATAAAACGTGTAATGCGGTATGTTCATACTGTATAATATATTCTGTATAAATGCCGTATTAACAAAAAGCAAACGATGAAACGATTATATATTTTGTTTTGCTTTGTTGAACTTTGGGCTATATAGACGCGCGAGTACACTAGTTGACGATATTAACTTAATAACAGATACAGTATTCACTCAAATTGAATCATGTACTTAAAGCACAAACTTTCATGCTTTGTTGATTTGCTATAAACCAGTCATGCATTCTATTATTTACCACTGAAAGATTTAATTGTATTTAAGGTTTTCCATCTGCCAAACGTGATGTGTGTTGTCTAATAAAGTATTCCACTCATACAGCTAGCGCTCATTAAATATTAATCCAGAGGCGTACATTATGAGTAGACAAAAGCATTGGCAGCCGGAAAGTACAGTTGTTTCGATAACCCTAATGAGTATTGAGTAACACAAAATGTTTTGGAGTTGAGTTTATCGAGCTACAATATTTGTGAGTTTTTACATAGCCATATTTCTGTTAACCTGGTAATATGCTATGTGTACAAATTACGCTCTCTCTTGAAAGCAAAATTGCCTTCAATTAG